GTTAGCTTACTGCGTGGTTTGTTGCCAGATTCAGACTGCATACTGCACCATGACCAAAAAGATACTGGTAGCGTCAATGCACGAACATGATCTAACATTGAAGCAGTTAGATGCGCTCACACCTCGCAATACACACCCTCGATAAGGGCAAGCAAGATGTCCTCGAGAGTGCACAAATAATCCGGCAAACGAAGTGCAGTGCAACACCTGAGATAACGGAGGCCTGGAAATCTGACGAGATTTCAATCATACGTAGTTTTGTTTTAGCGCAGGTCCTGGAAGCTGTTTCCAACCAACAAGGCAAGAATTAAACATTGCTTAGTAAGTCATTCAAAAACCTGCATTTCAGCTCTGTTAAAATCGAACTATGCAATAGAGTACACTGATTGAACGTCGGACGACCATAAATGTTCATTCACAGTTCGATTTTTCTAAGATAGGACCTGTACGGCTGCCTTAACAGGACATAGTGGCCGAAGATGTTTAAGTTGGCACCTACCGAGTAATGCCAAATTCTGAGAATAAATCATGGCTAAGTCAGATTCGGATAGAGTTGTTCAATACATTAGTACTCAAATACGCGAAAAGAGAGGATAAGACTTCGGAGAGCAATAAATGCATCATACGAACGAACATAAATGTACGAAAAGGATGAGTTACGGGAAGGGATGACCTGCCTGGATGGAAGGTGAAGCTGACACGTCTGCTACACAAACCGTGGCGAATACAGTGCTGCGGGTTACTATAGGGAAGGGTTGTGTGAGGTGCCGACGTACTGAGAGGAGAGCGTTGTGACGAGTCACGAGGGTGAGGGCAGCGGTGGAGACGGAAAGGGGAACTGGCTGCTTCTTCCGACGTAGATGTACACCATACCAGCTCCGCACACAAAGGTGTCATTTCATTCAGATTATCCACTCATTCTCTTGGCATACTAAAATGGGAGCAGGAGCTGCCCACAATCCAAGTGGGTTGCCATAAAATTCTAGGGTTGTTAACTTGAGGATTACAGTGAATGCTGGAGTGAAGTTTAGAGTAAGTTTTAAGGTTGGGTTTAGGGTCAGGATTACATCAATAGCTAAGCTTCAGGTTCGTGTT